TAGTACTCAGCTGCCTTATATCTCAGCAATAAGGACTACTATAGCAGGGATCTATTAGGCTATTATAGGGCCTCTAAGGCTCAGAGCCTTATAGCTAGGCTCTACAGTAGGTCTCCAGAGGCCCTAACCTAGGCTCTGTATATACGGGCTAGTACGGGGATTAAACCTATAACCAGGTAGAATTACTACTAACTATTATACCTAAAAGATACTCTAACTACCTATAGTAAAAGGCCTACTATAGCCTTCTAGTTAGAGGCTATAGTAGTATTAGAGTCTATATAGTATAATAATATCTTTTAATAAAAATAAAATAAATATATATAAGAATACTTTTACTATTAGTAAGAAAGCTTTTAAAATACTTTAATCTATTATTTTAATCTAATAAATAAAAATAAAAAATTATTTAAATATATAAAGATTTTTAATAATAATAAGATATATTAATCTTTAAGTTAGATTTTTATTAATTTAGCTTTTTTTTTTTAACTAAAGAAGAAAATATAAAATAACTAGTTAAATTATCTAAAACTATCTTATTAAATAATATTAATATTACTATTTCTAAATTTAATTATATAGTAGAATTATAGAAAGATATTAAGATAAAGTTTTAATATAATAGAATTATATAATTACTTAATTAAATAAGCTTAGACTTAGAATATAAAAGATTATTTTCTAGTAATAGTATTATTTTAAATACTCTTTTAAATATTAATTAGAATTAAATATCTATACTAGAGATTTTAAATAAAAGAAATAAAAAAATAAATTAAAAAGAAAAAAGCTATAGATTTTAATTTCTAGATTTAAATTAATAGAATAAAGCTAAGGATTTTAACTCTAAATAATATATTTAATAGCTAAGATCTTATAATTACTTAGTATTAAATTATAGCTATAAATATATTTAAAATTAGATCTATTAAAATATTAATTATTTATTTCTTTTAGTTTATAATATAAATATACTTAAAGAAATAATAATAATTTCTAATAAGTTATTTTATATTTTCTTAAAATAATAATTCTTTTATTCTAATAATAATTTTAATAAGTACTATAAACTCTAACTATTAGATAGATATTAAAATAAAAATTAATTATATTAATAATTAGATAGAAAAATAGATTAGAACTATATTTTATTCTAATAGAAATTAGAAAGTAAAGAGAAAGATTAGTAGAGTAATAATAATCCCTAATAAATATACTAAGTAATATAATAAAATTAGAGATAGAATAAATAAGTAAAGAGAATTTAATAATTAATATTAATTAATTAATTAAAATAAAAGAAGAAATCTTAAGAATAGAGAAAAAGTTTAATTATTTTTATAATAATTATAGTTTAATTAGTACTTTTAATTAAAATTAAAGAATATACTAAGAGTTAGTATAGTTAATCTATAATCTGTAAAGTTAGAGCTCTTATAGCTATATTTAGAGAGAATTTAAAAAGCTATTTTTATTTCTAGAAAGTATAAAAGCTAGTTTTTAACTATAGATTTTAAGAATATAACTTATAATCTTTTATATCTAATTTTATTATTCTACTATAAGTAATATATTAGAAAGTATCTTTATAAGCTTTTATAGCTAATTTACTATAAGTAATAAATTAATTAATTAAATATAAATTATATTAAATATATAATTAATCTAAAACTTATATTCTAAATTTATTTTATTTTTTTCTTCTTATTAATATATCGCTATAAACTAACTTAATTCCTTCTATAAATAATAGAAATCTATAAACTTAATAGTATTTAATATATTTCTTTTTTAAGCTTAATACTCTTTTAATCTATAAAAAAAAATATATTTATAATAAATTAGTCTTAATTCTTACTAAGTATATTATATTATATAATATCTTAGTTCTAATAGTAAGCTAGACTAAGGAGGTATAGAGTAAGATAGCTTATATCAGTAGTATAACAAGCTACTTTTAGAAAGGCTAAGCAAAGCTCCTACTCCAGGGATCTTAATTCTTTCCTAACGCTTTATCTTTTACAGAAAGGTAAACAACTAAGAACAGAACCTGCATAGCCTCTGAGGTATTATAGATAGATGTTTTAATAGTAAAGCAGCGAGGTTCCAAAGGGTTAGTATAGTGGTAGGAGAGAGCTGATATAGAACTTATTAGAGCTAAGGTATTATATAATATAATATATTTAGTAATAATTAAAGTTAGTTTATTATAAATATATTTTCTTTTCTAGATTAAAAGAGTATTAAGCTTAAAGAAGAAATATATAGTAATTTATATAATTAAACCTTCTAGAAGTACTAGAGTTATATAATTTAGATAAATATAACTAATATACTTTTGCTAATCCAATATATAAACTCCAACAGAACTCATGATGGTCACCGGTGAACCCGGCGCTAAGAGGACCGGTCGACGCTTCGACGCTAGCAGATCTCCGCGGTCGGACGTCAACGGACATTCTCGAAGCGTCCTCCAGGGAGAACGAACTGGCGACTTAGGACAGGACTTGCCGGCAGCAGCGGAGTCGGAAGCCGGGAAGAGGTCGACAACAGCCCTTCTGCGCTATCTCACGAACAGGCGTGGGGCATGATGCGGGGTTTGTCCGAGTGGGGCCAGGCTTTTGACATTACTCACCGCGTTATCTCCCAGACCGCGCCTCGTAATTTCCCTCCCCAGGGGTAGCTCCAAAGCTTAGCACAACGCCACGCGCAATGTAACCTACCCTAGCTTTTTCTTGTAACAAAAGCAGTTAGCTTTGGCTAGTAACTTGATAACAAGATACGTCGCGGCCGTGGGTTCCCCTAAGTCAAACACCCAGTCAACCGACCCCCCAGTCAACCGACCCCCTAACCGACCCCTGTAGCAACTCCCTGCTAGGGGGTTATTAGGGTCTATAGGCCCCTAATTCAACCAATAGATAAGAGATATAATTTATCTATTTAGAACTGATTATTTTCTAATTTAGTTTAGTCTATTATATAGAAAGAGTTATATATTTTTTAAAAATTATCTAGTTATATAGTACTATATTAAACAGAAGCTTCTATAAGATTATATAATTATCTTATATTAACTATCCTAGGAAATATAGTATTTAGATCTTTAGACTTTAAAATAATTTTTTTCTAGTAGGTTAATTATAAGTAATTTAGAATAATCTTTAATTATTAAATCTTAGCCTGTAATTAAATAAGCTAGAAAGTATAGCTATTTAATAATTTATCTATTTTAATAAGATATTTAGCTAAAAGTAGATCTTTTAAATTAAAGTAATAATTATTTTAAATTATAATATTAATATATATTAAATTTTATAGAGTTATTTCTCTTTTAGATAAATTTAAATAAGATAGTATTATTAAGATTATTATTTTCTTTCTAATTAGGAAATATAATAAGAGAGATTTAGCTCTATTAATAAACTATTATCTAGAGTTCTTCTAGCTAGTTTTAATATTAGCTAAGATTAGAATAGTAGCTTAGATACTTTAATAAGCTAATAAGAATAATTTTTTCCTAATTAGACTAGAGTTTCTAATATTAAGTATATTATTAATTAGATAAAAATAATAAGCTTTTTTTATAGATCTAAAAATAGCTATATCTAGTAGCTATAGTATATATATAGTATATAGTAGTAAGAAGATAAGATAAATACTATATAAATAGTATAGCTATATAAAATCTATAATTATATAGCTTATATAGCTATTAAGAATTAATAATTACTTCTTATTAGCTAATTAAGGAGCTATATATAAAATAAAGATATTCTAGAGCTAATTAAGAGTTATTTTATAGCTTATAAAGATATTAGTTATAGCTATAGATTACTAATTCTAGAAGTTATTTATATTATCTAGAAAATATTACTATTATATAGTTTAATTCTTAAAAAAATAAGTAGAGAAATAGATTTTCTAATTATTAAAATATACTTAATTATACTAATCTAAGTCTAGCTATTATAGTACTAAATAAAAATAGATCTCTTACTTATTAAACTAACTATAAGTTTATTCTTATTTTAGCTCTTAATTATATCTAATTTATCTATATTCTAGTAATTTAATTAGCTAATTACTTAAACCTTAGATAAATTAAATAGATTAAAATAAGCCTAAATTATATCTTTAGTATAACTATTAATCTAAATAGCTATAATTAGCTAGTTATATAAAGTTTAAATATCTAAATATCTATTAATAAACCTTTTAATCTACTTTTTATCTAAGAAAACTAAGCTTTTTTAAAGCCTTAGTAAATATAATATAAAATCTTTAATTTACTAGTATATTATTAAATAGCTAAGACTATCTTAAAGTTTTATCTAATTATAGAGCTTTCTTTTTTAAAGTAAGATTATTCTAAGCCTATTTAGGCTTTTAATCTTATATAACTTAATACTATTAAGCTAGCTAATAAGAGTACTTTTTAGAATATCCTAGTAGTAAAAGATAGATTTAAAAGAGCCTGCTCTACTATTTATCTCTTTAAGAGCTCTATTTAGATTAGTAGGGATATAAGAGAGTATAATTAGCTAGAGATAATAATAAGAGGATAAGATAAAGATAAGAGGATAAGATAAAGATAAAAGAATAAGATAAAGATAAAAGGATAAGAAAAAGAGCTGAATTTAATAGATAAAAGAGCTAAATTTATATTATTTAATTCCTAAAAAGGAAGTAGCTGGGAGCTAGACCTATATTTATAGACCAATAGGAGCCCTTTGATCAGGGGGTTGCTACAGGGGGTCGGTTAGGGGGTCAGTTGACTGGGGGGGTCGGTTGACTGGGTCTTGACCTTGTCGATTGCCTATTCTGCGCAATTCGCGAATCTCTTGTTCCCCAGGCATGCCGTTTACGTCACTCCAATTGAGCCATCCACCAATACAGCTTGTCGTAATGTACCAGAGACATGGAGTTTATCTATAAAGACATGTTCCTATCGTTGGACTTACTTAGTATCAGCGCTTTTCTCATATCACATCACCACCATGCTTCTACAATTTCTCATAAGTGCAGCATCTTGCGCTGTCTTTGCCGGCTCAGTGCTTGCAGCGGCTGCACCAAGCAACGCCCCTATTGTTGAAGTGTCCAACGGCTCCTACTATGGAAAATACAACTCAGTATATAACCAGGACATCTTTCTGGGAATCCCTTATGCGCAGCCCCCAGTAAAAGACTTACGCTTTGCACCCCCAAAGAGTCTTAACACCACCTGGTCCGGCCTTAGGAATGCCACTGAATACGGTTATGCTTGCGTCGGTTACGGCGAAGACACCGAGGATGCTTCGAAGAATTTCACTAACGAAGATTGTCTGACTCTTAATATCGCTCGCCCTGCTGGCAAGTCATCTAAGCCCCTCCCAGTGGCCGTATGGATTCATGGGTAAGTGCTGTTCCTCGTTTTGGTTTATCCTGTCTTTCGGAATCTAAATAGCGTCAGAGGAGGATGGGTCTACGGAAGCAGCGCAGTTGGATTGTACAACACAACCTTCCTTGTTGAACGTTCAGTGCAAATGGGAGAACCTATCATTGCTGTCAGTTTTAACTACCGTCTGGCAGCCTGGGGCTTCCTCTACAATGACCAGATTGCGAAGGAGGGTCAGACGAATGCGGGACTCAGAGACCAGAGGTTAGTTGTCAAGACATGCTGCTAAGAACAGAGTGTGACTGAAATGAACCAGATTGGCCTTGCACTGGGTCAAGGAGAACATTGCAGCCTTTGGTGGCGACCCTGAAAAGATCACCATCTTTGGCGAAAGCGCGTAAGTAATGGCTCAGCTCCCCTCAATGGTTTGTTTGCTAACTCATCTCCAGGGGCTCCGTCTCAGTATTCAACCATGTGCTAGCATACAATGGTCGTGACGATAAGCTCTTCAGTGGGGCTATTGGGCAGTCTGGATCGATTGCAGGCTTGGGCGGTCAGTGGCAGCCTACTACTGGTAAGTTATCATAATCACCAAAGCATATCTTACACCAAGCTAAGCCAGCTGCTATCTCAGACAAAGTGGCCCTTGCCACTTACAACATTACCCAAACTGTCTGTCCTGACGCCACTGACAAGCTTGCCTGTCTTCGCAAGGCCAAGTTTGAGGACCTGAACAATGCCATTAATGCAAGCTTGAGCATCCCTGTCGCCGCTTCTCCCAACATCTATGGTCCTTACATCGATGGAGATATCGTCGCCAGAAGTATGGCGAATCAGTTGAAGGACGGTGACTATGTTAAAATCCCCATTATCATGGGAACCAACAACGATGAATCAGTGTACTTTGTACCTCCAGGTCTCAACAGTGAGGCAGACATTCAACAATTTCTCCTCGGGTCATTTGTGGGCCTCAACTTGACTCAAGCCAATGCCATTCAAACGGGGTATAAGTACGATGATCCAGAGCAGTGCTTGCCCGGTATTCATCGTTATCAACTCAATTCGACTGTAGGTATACAGTTGAAGCGAGCCGTCTCCATCTTGTCTGACTTGACGTTCATCGGCCCAACTCACTATGGAGCACAGCTTGTGTCAAAGAACAACTACAAACCCCTCTATGTCTATAACTTCAATGCGTCCATTAGCGTCGGCCCCAACTATTATGGCGCAGCTCATGGATACGAGTTGGCTTATACCTTCTACAACCTGAATGGAACTGGCTGGGAAGGTGATAAGCCTCCCTTCCTGGGAGGCAATCCATTCATAGGAAGGTCTAAGTCTTATCTTGAGCTTGCCGATGTCATGAGTGGCATGTGGATTGGATTTTTCAACCATGGAGTTCCTGGTTATAAGAACCGTGAGTTTCCCCAAGTGCTCTCTATACACATCCTCTTATCAATATTATGGAATTTTTGCTAACACGCTGACTGAACTAGAACCTGTCCCCAAGTGGCCAGCATATAAAGGGGGTGATGGTCCAATTATGATTTTCGACGCTCAGCCGAACAAGCTAAACACAAGGGTGGGCAAGGAGGAGCGAACATCTCATATGAATTTAATGGCCGCTCAGATCTTTGAATGAGATCTAGTTATAAGTAGTATATCGCGTGTCACGGCCTGAAGGACCTCATATCCATGTGACAGGAGATTGACCCACCGTGTTAAAAAGTAGATAAAATTAGTAAGATATTAGTAAAAATTAAAGAACTAAAATTTATACTAAAGTTCCTATTAAAATAGTTTTATTTAAATAAAAATAGTTTTTTATTTTATATAGCTAGTAATAGTTAGAGTAAACTATATATATTAAAAGACTTTATAATTATTATAATATAAAGTATATATAATAATAAATACTATTTTAATATAAAAAGAATAATTATTAAGTTTAAAGAATATTAAATCTAATTATTTATAAGAAAAATCTAGTAATATATTTATTACTATCTAATTTACTATAAAGTAGAAATAGTTAGAAATATATTTATAGAAAAGTTAAAACTAAACTAAATCTATTCTTAGTTATTTTATATAATTATATTAGACTTTATTATAAATCTATTTAAAATTTCTTTAGTAGAAATATATTAAGCTATAAAAAAGTTTATAAAATTAAATATTTTAATTTTTATAAATAATATATTCTTAAAGAAAATAATATTTCTTATAGAATATATATTATATATAGTTATAAAGTAAAAAATAATTCTAATTAAAGAACTTTTTCTTATAGATTAGAGTATTTTTAAATATATTTTTAATAATAGAAATTTAAAATTTATATTTAAAATATAGAGAGAGATATTTTAACTTATAGAAATAAAATTATTAATATTAATTATATATTACTTATAAATAGATAATATCTCTAAGAGAAAAAATTAGATTATTAAGATAGTAATATAATACTATATACTAAAAAAACTTATAATTAAATAAATAAATATATTTCTAGCTTTATAATACTAGCTAAATAATATAAAGATTAAAATACTTAGGAGATTATTAAATAAATTAGTTATAGAATTCTAATTATATTCTAATCTAAATATTATAAATTAAATAAATTTAACTATTTTAAAAGAATAAAATATTATATTAGAAATACTTAGGAAATTATATTAAAAGAGATTATATTTACTCTAGATATAGTAATAATACTAGTAAAGAAAAAATATAATAAGTTAAGAATAATAATAGATATTACTAAGAATAATATTATCTATTTATATCTCTATAATAACTATTAGTTATTTAGAAATCTAAAGAAGAAATAGTTTCTAACTAGATTTAGCTTATAAAAAGTTCTAAAAGTAATTTATTTATAGATAGTTAAATTAAATTTACTAGAGTATTATAAAGTATATTCTATAATATTAACTATATAGCTATAGAAACTAGTTTAAAAAAAAATTCTTATAATAAAAAACTATAAAAATCTAGTTTAGTTAAATTAGATAAGAGAGTAGATAATATATATAAAATTAAATAAATATTTAATTATAGAAGAGTAAGAGATTATTTTATATAAGTTAAATATCTAATCTATTAGAAAAATTAGGAAATTAAAAATAACTTTTAAATTAAAAAAAAAGATCTAATTTAAAATACTTAAAAACTATTTTAGAAATATAAAATAAGTAAATCTAAGATTTATTTTAGTAAAAAAATAGAATTAGTATATTAATATAATATTTAATCTATCTATAGATAAAGTATATTATTAAATAATATAGAGAATCTATTTATAAAATAATAACTATTAATAGCTAATAGAAAATAATAAAACTAATATATTAAATATACTATAGCTTATTTAGATTTAATAATTTCTCTTTATATAAAATATATATTTATTATTTTTATTTTCTTTAGCTAATTTTTAATATCTAAAACTAGTTATATTAAGATTAGAATTTCTTTAAGTAAAAACCCTAAAATAATATAATTACTAATTAGAAAGTAGATAAGATTTCTATATATAGAATATCTAACTTATTTTTATAGCTTAAGTATTTCTAAGTTTAACTATATTAATAAACTTTAGATTAGTTAGATTTAAAAATAAATTATAGTTATACTTAAGAAATATCTAATTAATAAGAAGCTTAGTAAGAAAGATAAGAAACTTAATAATATAACTTTAAAAAACCTAGCTAAATATAATTATAAAGCTTTTCTAAAAATAGTTAAAGATAACTTTAAGTAATTAGTTAAAAATAAGTTCTAATAAGATTTTTATACTAAGATATATAGAATTATAAAGTAGTTAGAAGAGTTATTTACTATACTTTAATAATTACTTATACTAGAACTAATTATCTATTAGAAAAAAACTTTTACTATATCTTTTAAAAATATAAAATTAGTATTTTATAAAAATAAAGAAAAAACCTTTAAAACTCTAATTAAAATAGCTAATATAAAATTATTAGCTCTAGTTATAATATCTTTAAAGAATAAAAAAATATAAATAATAGCTTTTAATAAAAGCTAAAAAGATTTATTTTATAATTCTAAAGAAACTAAAATCTCTATAGAGAAAAATAATAATAGTAAGAATATTCTAATAATAGTATAGAAAAAGATTATTATATTAAAAGTAAAGATAATTAAAATTATATATATATATTTTTTATTAGTTTTACTATAAATAAGAGTATATTCTAAGATTAAGTAATATATAACTAGATTATATAATTTTTCTAAAAATATAATTAGTAGTTTATATTTAAATCTTTAATACTATAAAATAAAGTTAAAATTAAATACTTTTAATCTAGATATAGATATTAATATTTTAAAAGCTTTAATAATAGAAGCTATTTATATAGCTAGATATATAAATAATCTAGCTATAGCTATAGCCTCTAAGGGGAAAAGCTTATTATTTAATAATAATAACTATCTTTTCTTTTTAATTTAAAGCTTATTTTAATTAATTAATTAATTAATTATATCTTACTATTAATACTAAGTATTTATAATATATTATTTTCTATAATTATTTCTACTTATAGAGCTTTAGTTATTATAAATAATATAAACCTTAATAAAATAATAGAAATTATAAGAAATAATAGTATATAGCTCTTAATTAAATATATCTAATATATATCTCTTTAAATAGTTAAAAGCTTACTTATAATAATAAAGGTATTAATAATACTCTAGATCTAATAGTTATATCTACTAGATCTATTCTTATATTATATAGTCTATAGTTACTATATACTATTAATACTTAAAGTAGATAAAATATAATTAAATTAAAAGCTATATTTTAATTATAATTATTTATTTATTTATATATATTATAATCTGAGATTTTCTTTATAATTCTAATATATTCTATACTATTTTAAATTAATTAGAATAAAAATAGCTTTTAAAAGTTAATTAAAATTAAGCTTTTTCTATTTTAAGATAATATAGTTTAAATTAAAATATATTAGAGTTTATTTTAATTTAATTTAGAATTATATATATTTAGAAATAAAAAAGTTAATTATTTTTAAAATTATATATTAATTTATCTCTATAAATATAATATATATTTACTATTATAGGAAATTTTTATTAGAAATAATATAGATTTAATATTAATTTAATATCTATTTATATATATTTAGTTATACTATATAATATTAAAATTATATTTAATAAAGAAATAATTTATTTTTTTTCTAATAAGAATATATAATCTATAGTAGAAACTAATAAAAAGAGTACTAATAATATATATCTATTAATAGTAAAAAACTATAGTTATTATATAGACTAGATTATAATCTATTAAGATAATAATAATATACTCTATTAAAAAGTATATTTTAATTACTATTAAGTAAAAGATAGTAATAAATTACTTAATATTTTTATCTTTAACTATATTATAACTAGTTTTTAAAATATATTAAATTCTAAAAACTTAAATACTCTCTTATAGAAAAATACTATAAAATTAAGAATAAGATTAAAAAAGTTTAAAAGAAAATTATTAAAATAAAGAAATTAAAAATAGCTATAAACTATAAGAATTATATAAGTAAAAGTATATAGATTTATTATATTAAATAGTAAGTAGAAACTATAGTTAAAATATATATTTAAAATAGAGTTAACTATACTACTAATAAGTATAATATTAAGAATTTTAATAACTAACTTCTAGTTAAAGTTAATATTCTAATCTTTTACTATATTAATTCTTATACTTTTAATAGATAAATTATAATTAAACTAGTATTTTTAGATTATATAAATTTTATAATTATTAATAATATATTTAAAGTTAAGATAAGAACTATCTATATATAGAAAATATATTTTAGATAGATTAATAAAGATTTTAAATATAAGATAAAGTATTTTAATTATAAAATAAATAAAACTTTATCTAAATATAAAATATTATAAATAGTTAATAAGAAATAAGAGTTAAAGTTAGATAGAACTAATATAACTCTATTTAAAACTCTAATTATATATAGTAAATTAAAATAAACTATTAAAATACTATTAAAGAAATATCTAATAAAGTAATTCTAGAGAAATTAGCTATAAAGCTAAAGACTCTATCTAAGTATAAGCTAGAGAATAATCTAAAGGGATTTATAAGCTAATAATCTAAAGGGATTTATAAGCTAATAAACTAAATAATATAATTTAAAGATATAAAAAGAGAACTAAAGAAAGATAGTACTTATTATAATAAAGAAAAAAGTATAGAATAGATTAAATATAAAGATAACTAAGAAAATAATAAATATAAATATATAATTAATAAAAGAGAATTAGAATAATAGAATTTTTCTTTATAAGATAATATATACTAGCTAAATAGTAATTAATTAATCTTTTATTAGAATTTCTTTTATTTATTAAAATAAGCTAAATATAATTAGATTATTAAGAGTAATAGTATTTTTTTCTTTATTTAGAGTATTTATTATATTATAAATAGAGATTATATAGAGCTTTTTATAAAAGAACTATAAATAGCTAGTAAATAGAAAGAACTTAAGCTTTAAAAATTATATTATTTTATATATAAATAAAGATATTATAAATCTAGATTTTAATTATAAGCTATTTAACTATAGTTACTCTATAGTTAATAACTAAGAATCTATTAATAATACTTAAGCTAGTTATAGCTAGTTTTAAATATAATAAGTTTAGAATATTAGAAAATAATTAAATAAAGCTTAAAGTAATAAATTAAAAAAAGAATTTACTTTTAGATTATAAGATATTTAGTTTTATATATTTTCTTCTTTTAGAAATAATATATATAAGTTTTTTTATACTTTTTCTTTATTTTTTTCTATTAGACTTTCTTAATAACTCTAATAATAATAGAAATATAAATTTTATTAATATTAAATTAATAATTAAAAATATTAATTTTAAATTTAAAAATATTTATATAAAGAGAAAGATAGTATTAAATATAGTTAATTTAATTTAATCTATTAAATTATTAATATATATTTAAAATAACTAAAGAAAATAATTAAATAAAAATAAAAATAAACTTATTATTTATAAAAAAAAGAAAAAAAAATTAAAAAATTAATTCTTATTATAATATTAGCTAATTACTAAATATTAAAAGAATTATAATATAAAAATTATATTAAATAAATATTTATAAATTTATAAATAATTAAATACTATATAAACTATATTTAGTCTTTATTAGTATATAGTAACTTTATAATTAGCTATTATAATTTTCTTTAAATAATCTATAGTAGTATTAGATTAATTAACCTACTATATTCCAGATACTATTATATTAATCTTATTTAATTTAACTTTTCTATTTAATAAACTTTTTAATAATTTAATTTAATTTAATTTAATTCTCTTCTATTTAATATTACTAACTAAAATAGATATTAAACTTAAAGAGCTATCTTAGTCTAGATTAATTTAACTTAGTATATTACCTACTAGAACTATATATAGTAACTTAGGTTATAATAATAATTAAGTACTAGAGGAATATTATTATAGTTCTCTATAAGTATATTAATAATCAGATCTATCTCTATATTATTACTAACTATAAGAAGATAGAGTAATAATTCTAGTAGATATAATTACTAGGTCTATATAAGAGAGAGTAGTTTTATTACTATAAATAAACCTATAATAGATTATAGGCTTAAATAATTAATATTTAAAAAGAGATTCTAATAGTTCTTATTAATAATAACTATTATATATATAAGAATCTGATTACTTATAATAACTAGGCTCTAGCTGTAGGGGATAATAATATTAGAGATATCTATTATTATTATAAGGAGAGGTAGTTAGTAATAGTAATAATAAGCTTAGAGAGGTATTATAGTTAATTATAGATAATAAGTATTCCCCCTTAGGGCCTATAGCTAAGTTATATACTTAGTAAGCTCTTTTTAGAGTTTTTAGAGATACTATTATCTTACTTTAGTTTATATAAATAAAAAAGTAAAAAAAATAGAGTTAAAGGTTAGGTATAGACTGAAACTTAGTTAAAAATAAATTATATAGAGCTAGTTATATATAGCCTGATCTTAGGATATCCCTTATATATAGTAAAGATCTCTAAAAAAAAAAAAAAAAAATAATTAAAAAAAAAGAAAAAAAAAACTTTTTATAAGTTTATAATATAAATATTTATTTAAAAATTATTTTATATTTTTCTCTATATAGATTATATTAAGAGCTATATTAATTAGAAGTTTTTATTTTATAACTTACTTTTATAATTATAATTTTATTTTTTTTATTAGTTTTACTATAAATAAAAATATATTCTAAGATTAAATAATATATAACTAGATTATATAATTCCTTTAAAAATATAATTAATAATCTATATTTAAACTTTTAATTCTATAAGATAAAATTAAATATTATATTTTTAGTCTGGATATAGATATTAATACTTTAAAAACTCTAATAATAGAAGCTAATATAGCTAGATATATAAATAGCCTAGCTATAGCTATAGCTCTTAAAAGAGAAAACTTATTATCTAATAATAATAACTATCTTTTCTTTTTAATTTAAAACTTATCTTAATTAATTAATTAATTATATTATTAATACTAAGTATTTATAATATATTATCTTTTATAATTATTTTTACTTATAGAGTTTTAATTATTATAAATAATATAGATCTTAATAAAATAATAGAAATTATAAGAGATAATAATATATAACTTTTAACTAAATATATTTAATATATATCTCTCTAAATAATTAAAAACTTATTTATAATAATAAAACTATTAATAATACTCTAGATCTAATAATTATATTTACTAAATCTATTTTTATATTATATAATCTATAGTTATTATATACTATTAGTACTTAAAGTAAATAAAATATAATTAAATTAAAAGCTATATTTTAATAATAACTATCTATTTATTTATATATATTATAATTTAAGGTTTTTTTTATAGTTTTAATATATTCTATATTATTTTAAACTAATTAGAATAAAAATAGCTTTTAAAAGTTAATTAAAATTAAGCTTTTTCTATTTTAAAATAATATAATTTAGATTAGAATATATTAGAGTTTATTTTAATTTAATTTAAAATTATATATATTTAGAAATAAAAAAGTTAATTATTTTTAAAATTATAAATTAATTTATCTTTATAAGTATAATATATATTTACTATAATAGAAAATTTTTATTAGAAATAATATAAATTTAATATTAATCTAATATCTATTTATATATATTTAATTATACTATATAATAATAATTCTATTTATAATATATAATAATAGAAAGTTTAATTAAATATATTATTAAACTAATTAAAATAAGTATATAGATTTAAAATATACTTTAAAAGATATAAATAATAAATTAAACTTATAAAAATATTATAATTTACTATTTAATATAGTAATTTACTATTTAATATAGTAATTTATTATTTAATATAGTAATTTATAATAATATTTATATATATATTATTATTATTTACTCTAGATACTAGATCTAGCTAGACTCTAGTTTTTTTTTATTACTAATAGATAAAAATCTCTTTAATTAAGCTATTTTATTTATTATAAATACTTTATAACTAATTACCTTTAAATAGAAAACTCTAGATTAAGTTTTAATCTCTAGATTTATAATTAATATTATTAAAAAGAAGTTTTAATATAGTATTTTCTATTTAAGCTTTACTTTTAGAATTTAATTTAATAGATATATAGCTATTTTTATAAGTTTAAACTATAGCTATTTAAATAAATTACTATTAATTACTAATAGTTTTATTTTCTTTTTTATTATTCTCTTAGAATATTTATTTAAGCTATTTTATTATTAAGTATAAGAGATATATTTTTCTACTTTAATTATTTTATTATATAGTAAAATATAAATAAAAAAGCTCTTTTAAGGCTTATTATCTATTTCTAAATATCTAATAGTTATTTTATATCTAATTTTAAATATCTAGATTAAATATATTAGTATTTAAAAAATACTTTACTCTTTCTAATCTTTAAAATAATAACTTTAAATAAAGTTAGAGTTTCTATCTATTATAATTATATATAAGTTTAATTTCTTTTTAGAAATTATAGAAATTAATTAATAAATATTTTTCTAAATTTAAACTTCTTTCTTATAGTTTATATCTTTCTTAATACTTTATCTTACTAGGCTATATATATTATATTTAATAGTTATTAAACTAATTATCTATACTCTATTTATTAAGATTACTAAATATTTAAATAATCTTAGCTCTAGATATTCTAGATATTAATATTAATATATTATATTATCTCTATTTAGTTTCTTTCTTTAAATTATATATTAAGATTAGAATAATATAAATATAGTTTATATTAGTATTTTAGTATTATATTTAATAATATATTAATTATAATATTATTCTAGCTTATAAAGTATTAATTTACTATTATATTTAATTAAATTCTTATTATTCTTCTAATTCTATTAATAGCTTTTCTATTATAATTTTAAAAATAATACTAAATTAGTATTTATTTCTAAATAATATATTATTTATTTAAAATATAAATAATATAGTTTATTTCTTTTATTTTATACTTATAGAATTACTTTACTATAATCTAATATTAGAAAGCTTATAAAACTTATAAAAATCTTTTTAATTTTAATAATTTATTTTACTATATAAACTATATTTAGTCTTTATTAATATATAATAACTTTATAATTAGTTATTATAATTTCCTTTAAATAATCTATAGTAATATTAAATTAACTAATTTACTATATTCTAAATACTATCTTATTAATCTTATTTAATTTAACTTTTTATTCTAATAAACTTTTTAATAATTTAATTTAATTTAATTCTTTTCTATTTATTTAAATATAAATAATCTTTATTAATATTAGATTTTAAAAGCTATCTCTATCTAGATTAATTCTATATAATATATAATATATTAAAACTAGAGATTATATTTTAGATTATTATAATTATTAACTATTTAGAGATTATTATCTAGCTTTTTCTTTTTAAGTATTTTATATAAAGTAGAATTTATTATTTACTTTTTATAAACTTTATAATATAATATTAAGCTTAATAATTATAATTATTAAATTTATATAATTAAAAATAGCTTTATAATTATAAGAAATCTAGTAATAGAATATAAACTTAATTATATTATATTATTAATAAAAATATAAAAATTCTTACTAATTATTATTATTATATAATTAAAAATCTAATTATTTATAATAACTAGACTCTAGTTATAGGGATAATAATATTAGAGATATTTATTATTATTATAAGAAGAGATAGTTAGTAATTAGTAATAATAAGCTTAGAGAGATATTATAATTAATTATAAATAATAAATATTTCTCTTTAGAATCTATAGCTAAGTTATATATTTAGTAAGCTCTTTTTAAAGTTTTTAGAAAAACTATTATTTTATCTTAGCTTATATAAATAAAAAAGTAAAAAAAAATAGAATTAAAGATTAGATATAGATTAAAACTTAATTAAAAATAAATTATATAGATCTAGTTATATAAAATCTAATCTTAGAATATTTCTTATATATAGTAAAAATCTTAAAAAAAAAAAATTTATTTAAAATTTCTAAACTTTTTATTATTATTAAATAAATATAATATAATCTCTAAATTAAAAAGAGCTAAATATTTTAATAAATAATAGTTATTTTTAATAAATAAAATAGTTATAAAACTTAATATTTAATTTTAATTAGCTAGTTATTAATACTATTTTTTTTTTAAATAAGCTTATAATAGAACTTTTAAATCTTAGAAACTTTTTCTAAATATTTTTTTCTACTTATTAAATTATAATTTTCTTTTAATAAAACTAGATAGTAGATTCTTAGAAAATAATAGCTAGTAATCTCTTATATTAGTATTTTTATATTTCTTTTTATAAAAAATATAATTAGATTTATTATTACTAGCTTTTTTTATTATTTATTTCTATATTTAATAATATCTTTCTCTATTTAGTATTTTTATTTTTTATTTAATAGATTTTCTTCTTAGAATATTAATCTAAAGCTATTTTTTATAATTTAAAACTTTAACTCTTTATTTAAATCTCTTTTAAAAGTTTTTAACTTATCTCTAAAAAATTTTATAAAAACTACTAGCTTATATATATTATTATTTATTTTAGATTAATACTAACTTTTTATAGTTTATATAAATAATTTAATCTAAATACTTTTCTAAATTATTAAATTATTTAAAAGAGCTTAGTATATTAAGAATTTTTCTAAATCTTATTAGTTTTATTATCTTCTTTTAATTATTAATTTAAATATACTAATTTATTTTAAACTTCTTAATCTACTTTAGAGAATTAGAATACTCTTTTTATATTTATTATCTTTTATTAGCTTTATTTATATTATATATATATCTTTTAAATTCTTAAAGAAAAAATAAATATTATTATTTTTCTTAATATAAATAAATAAGAGAGTATATATTTTAATATAATAAATAACTATATTATTATTTATCTAATTAAATATATTATATATTCTATCTATTTCTCTATTAAATTAAGAAATTAAAATTTAATAGAAGATTTAATTAACTTTATAAACCTTTTTATTTTTATTAAAAAGCTTAATATATAAGTTTATAAATTATTCTTTCTAAATAAAACTTAATATTCTATTATTATTAGTAATTAGGATTTTTATCTTATATTATAAATATTATAGAATTATAAGCTCCTTATATTATTTAATATAAAATTTATTTAGTTTATTAAGTTATATATAATATAAAACTCTTTTACTATCTATATATATTATAACTATCTATTTAAAAATATTATAATTATTTAGCTCTTTTAAGATAGTAAATATTATATATACTCTTAGAGTTTCTAATTACTATTTACTTAAACTAAATATATTTTATATTATTAGTTTAATACTTATATTTATAATTATAATTATTTTAAAAAAGAATAACTTTAAAACTTTTAATTATTAGAATTTATATATTAAAATAATAAAATTATATTATTAGAAAGCTTTTCTAAAGTATATATTTATAGATAAAATAGATTATAAAGATAATTAATTAAGTTATTATTCTAGCTATAAAACTAAGCTAGTTATAAAACTAGTTCTAGAGTAATTATAACTAAGCAGATTACTCTACTTCTAGCTTCTAGCTAGTAATTACTATATAGAGATATTTAGTATACTAATATAAATAGTTTTTTATCTCTTATTTTATATAAATAATCTCTTCTATTATAAATTCTCTTATAATCTCTATAAATATAGGAAATAAATATATATAATTTTAATTTCTTATATCTTTATTAAAAAAGTTCTCTTTAAATATTATATTATTTAATTATATATATATATACTATTATATAGTATAACTAAGTATATATAAATAGATATTAGATTAATATTAAATCTATATTATTCCTAATAAAAATTTCCTATAGTAGTAAATATATACTATACTTATAGAGATAAATTAACTTATAATTTTAAAAGTAATTAACTTTTTTATTTCTAAATATATATAATTCTAAATTAAATTAAAATAAACTCTAATATACTAATATTAGTAATACTAAGCCTGATCTAATCTAATTTAATACCCTGATCTAAACCTAAACTAGATAACTAAAAATAAAAATATAAGCTTAATTAACTTTTAAGAGCTATCTCTATTTTAATTATCTTAATATAGTATATAATATACTGAAACTATAAATTATATATTAGATTATAATAGGCTTATATAAGTAAGTAGCTATTCTTAAGATATAGTTTTTCTTCTAGCTAGTCTCTATTCTCTATAAGTACCTATTATAGCTCTGAGCAGGCTATATAATAAAGTAATAGACTAAGCAGATATAGCTACTCGATCTGTACTATTAAAAGTAGCTTTATTATTATAAGTAGACCCTTAACTGACTGGAGTAATATATAATAAATATAGTTAGTAAATATCTATTTTATATTATCTCTAATAATAGTTATTATCTCTTAAAGAGCCTTATTAGAAATATTAATCAGGCTCTAAGAGATTAGAATATTTATATTAGATATAGCTATTATAGCTATTATTATTTAAGTACTTAATAGGTATCTAGTAATTAATTAATATTTAATAAGCTTAGTAAGTAGATATAGTTATTAGATAATAAGCTTCCCCCCTTAGGGGCTATAGCTATAGCTAGGCTATTTATATATCTAACTATATAAATAGCTCCTATTATTAGAGTTTTTAAGATATTAATACCTATATCTAGACTGAAAGTATAATATCTAACTTTATTTTATAGAGTTAAAAGTTTAAATATAAACTATTAATTATATTTTTAAAAAAATTATATAATCTAGTTATATATTATCTGATCTTAGAATATACTCTTATTTATAGTAAAACTAATAAAAAAAAATATATATATATATATATATTATAGTATAAGCTTATTATATTAATATATATACTTTATTATTAGATTATTCTATTATTATAATTTAATTAGTTATTCTAATAATAAGTAATTATAAGTATATATTCTATCTATAATAATCTCTATTTTAAAATATTAAGTATTTCTCTTTTTCTTTTTCTATATAGCTACTTTCTATTATATATATATTTCTATAATAATTTCTACTATTTTAAAATATTATTCTAAAGCTAACTATATATAGAATAATTATTATTTCTTTTCTAATTATATTATATATAGAGATCTATATATCTTAAAATAAGGTTTTATAGTTAATTTTATTCTAAAGAAAAATAATTAATTATATCTATCTTTTCTTTTTATACTCTTTTATCTTTACTAATAAATAAAACTATTAAAGAAAATAAGTTTAGCTCTATATTTTAATTAGATATATTTATTTAATAAGTTTTAAAGTAATTATTTATCTATCTATTTTTATTAAGTAGTATTAGAAAATACTTTTAAATATTTAGAAAAAGCTAGTAAAAATTAAAAAAAGAAAAATTATACTAAAAAAGCTTATTCTAACTAGATATAAATATTATCTATTATTTTATTTTCTATTTTTATAGTTAATTTCTAATTTTAATAAGTATTTTAATATATATATAGTATATAATAAATTACTTATCTCTAGAAAAAATAATAGTTATTACTTTAATTATAATAATAATAGAATAGAATATATATATTATAATAAGAATAGAATATAATATATATATTATAATAAGAATAATAATATATATATTATAATAAGAATAATAATATTTATATTATTATTTCTCTTATTTTTCTATTATTTTTATATAATTTAGTTTCTATATATATAGTTTTTATTAAACTTAATAAAAGTAATTAGAAAGTTTTTCTATATATAAATTAAAGTATATACTATAGTTAGATATATTATTACTATTTAGAAAAAAGTTTATAATTTTATTATTAATAGTACTTTTAATAATTTAATTATTATTTAGAATACTATAAATAATATTATTATTTCTAAAGTTATTAAGCTAACTCTTAAGTATTATATAGCTTATAAAAAGATTAATAAGTTTAAAAGTAAAAATAGAAATAAGAGTAATTTTTTAAACTTCTAATCTTACTAATTCTAATATCTAGTATAATACTATTTTTCTATATATTCTAAACTATATATATTAAAAATCAGAAAATATTAAAAAAATATATAAAATTATAAAATCTAAAAAAAAGAAATAAATAGTTTAAATAGATAAATAGATAGAAAATAGAATTACTTTAATTAAAAGCTTTCTCTTTATATATTCTATTTATATATAATATATTTAAATTTATACTTTTAAGTAATTATTATATAAATTTAATCTATTAATCTAATCTACTAAGCTATATCTACTTTAGATAATTTCCTTATATTTCCTTATACTCTAACTCTTAATTTATTTAATTTAATAAGCTTTAAAAGTATTATATTAGATTTAATCTTTATTAATATATTAATAAAGTTATTATCTCTATAGATCTATTTTATTTCTATAATTTTATAGTATTTATATAATTAATATAAAGCTATTATTACTATATAAAACTATATTTAGTATTTTAATTAGTATATAATAACTTTATAAGCTATTATATTTTTCTTTATTAATATTCTATTATAGTAATTAACTAATCTATTATATTTAAAATACTATTTTATTAATTTTATAATTTAACTTTTTAATCTAATAAACTTTTTAATAATTTAATTTAATTTAATTTAATTCTCTTCTATCTAATATTACTAATTAAAATAAATATTAAACTTAAAGAGCTATTTTAATCTAAATTAACTTAATTTAATATATTATCTATTAGAACTATATATAGTAACTTAGATTATAATAGTAA